GTGTGTGTGTGTGTGTGTGTGTGTGTGAAACCCAAGATTCTCTCTCTCGTTCGATCCAGAAATCATCGTAAACCATCCGTAAAAAGCCAAAAGGAAGTGTCCTTCGGGACAAAATTGGAACGATGCAGAGAAGATTAGCATGGCCCCTGCACTTTCAAGGATGACACGCATAAATCAAGAAATGGTCCAAATTAAAAAAAAAAAAAAAAAAAAAAAAAAAAGAAGGAAGTATAGATAGGCAAGATAGTAAAAGATGCAAGTTTTGGCCATAAAACATGTGTGGTTAAGCTCCAAGTGCCCACACACCTGTCTGCAGCCGAAGCGGCAGTGTGTGTGTGTGTGAGAATGTGTGTCCTGGGTCTCACGCTTGGCACATGCGCTCTCGAATCCTGCATCTTTTTTTTTTCTTTCTTTCTTTGTTTTCATCATCAGGAACTATAACATGCTGCCATTGCTGCCTGTTGTTTTTTTTTTCACCTGTATTCTGCCGCTGACTCTTGTCGTATGCAGATGCGTAACGAGCACAATCTGATTACGGCGGCGGCGTCCGCAGAGATCTCTTTGACCCCTATTCAGGCTCATTTGCCCTATGGATGTGCAAGAGGGGTGGCTTCAACAGAGGCTCTTTCAGCACTTTTGACAGGTGCTCCAGGAATAGACTTTCTCAGCAATGCTTCAGGCTTGTCGACTCCAACGTCACCACCAACGCCACATACAACGACTGTGGCCACACAAGGGCAGATAGTTATATAGAGCTTGGGATTGATGTCTCCTTCACTCAGGCAATGGTCGAGGAGGTAGCATTTCCAAGGAAGTATTGCAATTGTTGAGTGGGTCATGCGTTGCCTTGCTACTCTACTCAGCCATCACCTTTGTGGCTTCGGCTGGTGGCCTCAATCTCTTTTGGACACAGATGTCAATCAAGATGCATGCCCACATTTGCTGCTTGTGTTGTGACCGTGGGAAAGTGGTCATCTGTCCCTTAACACTCTCTCTCTCTCTCTCTCTCTCTCTCTCTCTCTCTCTCTCTCTCTCTCTCTCTCTCTCTCTCTCTCTCTCTCTCTCTCTCTCGGTCTCTCTCATGCACGCACACACAGAGTAGCGCCCGTTTGCACCGGTCTTTGTCAATGCAATGTTCCGTCGACGTTTGGACAGTAGGCCATGTGCCCATTTCTCTATATTTTTCCATGTTTGCTCTTCGTTCTACAGTTATGCTGGTGATGATGCATACATGATCAAGGTGGTGGCACCGCAGGGTGCTAATCTCTTTTTCATTCCCTGTTTCCCCACTTGTGCTGTGTTGCCCTGTAATTTTAGCCTCAGGGGCGAGAGTATGTGAGGTTGCTGGGCGGTGATGTCATTATAATATGATTATATTGAACACATTCTTTAGAAACGTAGAAAGGCATCTTCAGGACATTTTGTAAGAGAAAAATCTCAAAACCGTGTGCAAGAGGCTTGACCCTGGTTTGATTTTCCGCTCTCTCGTGTTTTTTACCTTGCCGCTAGAGTTCTCCCCGACAATCAAGCAACACACACACACGATGCAGAAGGCTCTCCATGTTTTTCCGGACCTTTGACAAAAAAAAGTCGGTGCCTTTTTGCTGGAGTAAGTTGCCTTCTGCCCTCCATCCCCTTATGGTTTGAAATATATATGTATACAGATGTATATATGCAAGTGCGCCGCTTTGGCGGCAGACGGGTGTGTGGGCACTTGGCGCTGAACCACACAAACGTGTCCAACCTTGCATTTTCTATTATATTGCCTATCTATTATATGGCTTGTGATGATCTGTGAAGGGAATGAGAGAGAGAATCTGGGGTCCTTTAAAACAACACACACGCACACGCACACGTAACCCCCCCCCCTCCCCACACACACACACACTGACTGGCCCCTTGCCATTCTAGAGTAGACTGCCCCAGATGTGAGTATTTAGAACCCTGTGAAGTTCGTCATATCTCGGTCCAGCCCTTTGCCAGTGCACACCCCACCCTATAGAACTCTCTCCACTACCCCTTGTCCCTCCCCTGCCCCTCACTCCCTATCGACCTCTGCTTCCTACCTCTTGCACACCCTATAGAACTCTCTCCACTACCCCTTGTCCCTCCCCTGCCCCTCNACTCTCTCCACTACCCCTTGTCCCTCCCCTGCCCCTCCCTCCCTATCGAACTCTGCTTCCTACCTCTTCCCTTCCTCCCTCCCCTTGTGTTCTACTAGTAAATGCATATGGATGAACATCATAAAGGGAACAGACAAAATATAAGCTGAAGATCTAAAGAAAAACGAACAGGAGTATACGAAGCCCTTCACTCTGCCTTCTTTGATAACGTGCAAGTGTGCTGTTAACTCACACGGGGATGTGGGCAGCTGGTGCTCAACCACAATCAACGTGCCCAGCCTTGTACGTGAGAGGCGTAGTAAAAGGGGAGCTGCAAGAACAAATGCAAGGGGTACCTACCCCAAAGAAAGTCAAAGTAAACATAGTTGAAACTTGACAGTGCGATTTTAATTTTCAACGGTGTGCTCCATGTTACTTGCTATAGACTTTTTTTTTTTTTTTTTTTTTTAAACAAATGCTCCAGTCTAGTCGTGGGGAGCAGCACGTGCTACTTGCTATAGACTAGTATAGAGTTAAAAAAATTGTTTCGTTCTCGGATTGTATCAATTCAAAAAATTGAGGTTTGCGTCTTTATCTGCCATAGGGCTGAAGCGGCAAAACATTTTTCGGTTTTGGTCGGACTCGTCAGCGAGTTGGTGGATTAGGGGATGTTGAGGTGAAAAAGCAAAACACGCAGCGATGAGAGCCCGTGCAAGTTTTTTCTGTCTTCGTAGGTATGACATCCTAAATCATCCAAAATGATCCTCAACCATCCCAAATTATCATTCTGTGTAGGATCCTCAGAGACTTTACGTGGAGCTACTACTAATTAATAATATAAAAGAAAGACCAATGACTTATGAGTATACGTACGATAGATACCTTTGTTTGTATGTAGTGTCGTATTATTATAGTGAACCCGGGCAAGAGCCGTGGCCTTCGGTCATCAATTGTCAATCATCAATGTATTCCCATTATAAGGGACGCTGGGCCCGGTTCCCAGCACGTGATGCTCCCCACGAATAGATTGGAGCAATATTAAAAAAAAAAAAAAAAAAAAAAAAAAAAAAAAAAAAAAAAAAAAAAAAAAAAAAAAAGATATGATGACAGTCAACATTGCGCCCATGTACGGTACCCTGGCATGTCATGTCCGATTTGTAGACGGGGCCGGAACGGCAATATGCCTATACAGCTGCAGCTGGCGTGCCTCTTATGTTCCTAGCATGTAGGAGCTCATGTAGTCTGTGACATCTGTCTATGCCGTATGCCGTGCCACTCGATGCAGCAACTGCGACTGCGAGAACTGGATGTGTGGTGCTTCCACGGTGCACACTCAACTGCTCCTGACCGGGCTGCAGTGGTGGCCACTTACGATAGGCATCGGCATTTCATCAACACAAAATCTCTTGCAATCCGAACACTGACCGGCCTCGTGTGCCTTTCTGACGTAGTTTGCTCCGGTGGTGTGTATGGAGAAGCCTGTGGTATTCCTCTTTCCTCTGTTCTCCTCTGTTGTGTTCTTGGCCCTCCCCGCCGTCCCTCATCTACCCTTTCTCTCTCCCCTGCCCCTCACTTCCTATAGAACTCCAACCCCTACCCCTTCCATTCCTCCTTCCTCTTGTGTACCACTAGCAAAAGCATATGAATGACCGTCTTTAAATCACCAGTACTTGGCCCAGCTATCGGCCGCGGGCGATTCCCGTTAACGTGCCAGTAGTTGCGCGCTTCGGGGCACCGAACTACAATGGCTGGAAGCACCAGCCAAAATGAAAACGAAACGGTGCCCCGGCAGCTCGGCAAAACTTGGCGCGCAGGGGGGTATTCCGGCGGCTCGGCATCGATAGCTGGGCCAAGTACTGGTGGTTTCAGAGAACAAAAACTAGTATCTATTCTGCTCCATGGTGCTTGCTATAGAGTTGCTTGCTATAGAGGTTAACTGTTTGATTGTTGAAGTAGCTCATCTCAATCTGTTCCATGTCGCTTGCTATAGAGGTACTAACGTGTTTCATCGTTCGAATGGCTCATCTCAAGTGCGCTTCATTGTCTGCAATAGGTAAAGCTGCATGGATTTTGGATCTGCTCATGTGGGTGGGATAGGGGCTGTTGTGGTAAAAATCCAGGAGACACGCAGGTGCAAAGTGCTGAGGAAGTCATCTTCGATCTCAAGCAGAATGCACATTCCTTCCAACTCTATATGGCACACAGCTAGGCTACCAGAGTGGGCCGGGAGTCCGGGACCACTTGCCCGGTAGGGCCCAAAAAAAAAAAAAAAAAAAGAATTGTTTTCTTTCTGATCCTAGTTTGGTAAAGAATGTCTTTTAACTTTTCTTTCAAAGAAAACAAGTTTTATATTACAAAAGAAATTGAAAAAATCCGTTTGGTAAAGAACGTCGATGCGACCCGGAGGCAAAAAGTGTTCAGTTTATTTTTCTGCACAGCATAGTTTTTTTCCAGATCTTCTTTCTTTTTTTCCATTCCTGGGACCTTCCTTGGTCCTCGCACAGCCGCGCCGCCCGGGAAAACAACGTGACCCCGGCGACCCAGCTGGTAGCCTAGGGACACAGCAGATTTTTCCACAATTTAGTAATTTACGCAAATCTGCCACCCATTTCTTATTTATTTATTTATTGTCGTTGCCGGGAACTTCCTTGGTAACTTACTTGGTCCTTGCACAGCCGGGGCACCTGGGAAAACAAGACGATCCCGCCGGCCCGGCTGGTAGCCTAGCCACACAGCGGATTTTGCTACAATGTACACTAAGCTGCCACACGCCTGTATCCTTTTTTTCCTATAGGAACGACCATTGTGCTAAATGCTGCTCAGGGCGCACATGATTAAACGATGCTCAGGACGCACACGATTATGCCTTTGACGTCAACTCCACAGGAGAGGAGGGTATCGTAGTACAACTTCACATGACTGTGGGAGGTCTTTCTGATTGATGTGCAGAGGAAAAGACAAGTCTGCCGAGGGCAGCGAGGGAGCTGGGCCCAGTCAGAGATCTCCTCCACAGATGCTGAGTAGGAATCAGGAGCATGAGTGCCATGAAGACCTCTCAAAAGCCATTTCGTTAAAATGGACATTTTGTAAATTTGTATATTTTACAGGAAATTGAAACCAACTTATTTGGCCCAAAATATCTCAATTTTTTTTAGCTCCTGAGGGTGGGTCCAGCGGTTTCGGAACACTGGAACCGCACTCAAGAGTCAAGAGCGATAATTTTTTGACTTTTGGGCCAAACAAGTCGGTTTTAATTTGCTTTAAAAAGAATATAAATTGCAATGTCCGTTTGAATGAATGGACTGTTTCGCTGTGTGTCTGACGACGACAGAGGTGTGAGCTTTAGAAACGCGCGATGGTTTTTTCTTGGGCAGCTATATGTAGATTACAGGGGGGCATCTTTTCATGCTCACCACCTGTCATGAAATTTCTGGTACAATTCACCCTTGTTATGCCATGCCGCTGGCTTCGACGTAAGGAGGGCCTGCTCCACATCTTCAAGGGTGACAGGCCCAGGAGGTGGCAACTCCTCCTTCTGTAGCACCTGCGGATTCTTTCGTGATGTTTGGCTTTCATCGCCTTCGTTTCCTAATGCCAGCTTCATCAACCTGCGCAACGGCCTCATAGCTATCTCCTTACACAGCTGCTGAATATCGGAACCAGAGTAGCCATCAGTGGCAACGGCAATCATCTCCTCGGCTTTTGGCAGCAGTTCGGCGCCCATAAAGGGCAGGAGCATTCTCTTGACCATCACTTTCCGCTCGTTCAAGCCCGGCAGAGGTACCAAGATCCTCTTCTCAAGTCGGCGTATCACGGCAAAGTCCAGCTCCCAGGGCATGTTTGTGGCAGCAAGTAAGAAGACCAGCTGAGGGCTCTGCGCGAGCCCATCCATCTGGATGAGCAGCTCGGTTTTCATTCGGCGGCTGGATTCGTGCTCGGTTGGCCCGTCCCCTCGTTGACTCAGCAGCGCGTCTACCTCGTCGAGGAAGATTGTCGATGGAGCGTGATAGCGTGCCAAATCAAACAGCACGCGGACCAGCTTTTCCGAGTCGCCGCGCCATTTGCTTACGATCGTGGACGCTGATATGTTGAAAAATGTTGTTTTGCATTCGGTCGCAATGGCCTTTGCCAACATGGTCTTGCCAGTTCCCGGAGCACCGTAGAGAAGGACACCCTTCCATGGAGCCAGCAACCCTTTGAAAAATTGTGGGTACCTGTGGGGCATAACAACTGCCTCCACCAGCAGCTCTTTTGCTTGGTCCAGCCCAACAATGCTGTCCCAGGGTACATTGGGATTCTCCAAGTAAATGTCTTTTCTGATCATTGTGCCAAGCTCTTGCAATTCTGCACTGCCTAAGTCTGGCATAGGCTTCAACAACCTCAAATCGAACAAATCCTCATCGGCAGTGCTGAGAACTGACCCCTTGGTGTTGTCCAAGTTGGCACCGCCAACACCAACCACACACAGTTTTGTGTTTGGGTTCTCTGTTGCTTGTGCAGCTGAGTCCTTCGGAGCCTGGTTAGAGACACCTGAAGCTTCTGAGACTGGAGCCTTCAAGTTGTTTGAGGCTCGACCACCGCCCTTTTGCTTTGAATTGGTGTTGTTGGGATTTGCCTGTCCACGGCCCGTCCTCGGATGATTGTGGCTCTCATTCTGGTGGTGGTTCGTTTGGTCCTCCTGTAGTGGTAATGATGACTGGCTGATTGCACATGGTTTTGGCTGGTGTGGACCGTGGGGGCCAACGACGGCAGGCCGTGAACGTTCCACCAAATCAGTCTGAGCGACCTTACGGACCAGCTTCGGCCGGCGCCCATACTTGATTTCCTGGTACTCCTCATACTCCTGGATGGCTGTACTGAGATTGACATTGTCTGCAGCATCAATCTTACTAAGGCTGAGACCTGACTCTGCCTGCAAGCGCTCAGCAGCTTCAACGTACCTGGCTCATAATGGCAGGTCAAGTGACGCCAGCAAAGAGAGCACACCCATTCGCGCCATCCAAAATGTGTCATAATGGGAACATGGTTCCAGAAGTAGACCCCTTGGCATTAATATATGAGCAATAATTGTATATTATTGGGAAAGCAGAGAGATGATGGACAGACCCAATCCTTGCCTATGAAACAATTAAACCACCAGTACCTACCGCATTTTCGTATCCCCCCGCCTCGAATGAACCTGGACCGGAGGAGGGGCAGGCTGATTCGGCTCTGCGTTAACAGCCGCCCCAACCGGTAGGTACTCGCGGTTTAAGGGGTAGCTGTCATTTGAGACAAAAACGAGTTATAATTGCACTATGGGCCAAGATATAGTTTGCAATTGCACTATGGGCCAAGATATAGTTTGCAATTGCACTTTGGGCACCCTACCTGGCCAGAGAACTGGGTTGTATGCATTGCCAAAACTGCAATTTGAAGCTGTATCTTGGCCCATAGTGCAATTATAATTCATTTTTGTGACTCCCACGGAGTTTCCCCAACAATAAATGACCTTTTTGGCCCCATAGTGCAATTATAATTCATTGATAGGGCGAAGAAATCCAAGGATGGGTGTCCAACTGCCTTACCCTTCATCGAACAAATGGCGTAGTACTAACACGAGAATGTTCCGCCTCTGCTCCTGCCGTCTTTTCTCTTCCCACTCCACAAGAGCTGATCGGTGCCGTAACATTGATAGGATGGACAGTGCTCAACCACCACCTTCATCAACCAATGTAACAATCAAACAAAAACAACTTCAGATGAGAATGTTATTGTTGAACACTTTTAAGTACTTGTTATTCAAAAGCGCAATAAAACAACTTTTGCCTGAGTGTCTTGGCAATATCCCCAACCAAATTCGAGAAAGGCTCCAGCAAAGTTTTGCCCTAAAACTCGTTGTATAACGTACGTCCATTGTATTCGAATACAATGTATCGAGGTCCGATTGATTGTTTTGTTGGTTGAATGAGCGTCCTATTATTTTTGGGGCACCCAATTGTTTTCCTGCTCATATATATTAGCGGGTACTTTTTAATTTATTATTATTATTATTATTATTATTATTATTATTAAAAATCAGGCTCCGGTCTATTTGTGGGCGCGGCACAAGCTGGGAAAACGCGCCAGCGTTCCCTATAACAGTACAAAGTTGCTCGACGTTAGGGTCCCCGCAGCCTAACTAGAAGAGCAAAACAAAAAATACTGGAAGCATTACCCGACTTAGCTTGTGAAGAAACAAAACGTGTTGGAAATCGGGTCCAGCGTCCTGAAAGTACCAAAGTAACCGTCTACCTTTCCTAATGCCTACAGAACCTTTCAGCCCAGTGCCCGTTAGCTATGCAAGACCCCCTGATCCCATAGGCAAGCCTGTAGGGGCAGTACCAGTGGCCCTTTTACAAACCGTTCACTGTCCAAGTATGCATGATTCGATAGCTAATGCAACTTAAACTTTCTTACACAACCAAGGACCCGACCCAAAACCACTTTTTGTTGATCGTCCAAAGTATCGAGTTTGTTTCGCAGCCCCCATGCCCTTGCGAACCAAATTGGGCCATTCCGACTTCTGTCCACTAGAATTGTGATCCTCAAATGACTTCGAATTTGTGCCTGCATTTGGCCCCTGTCAGCCAGGTCTCCATTGAAGACAATAGTATTCTGAGATTGCCAAACGAAATTCATAACGATGTCATGTATCATTTGTCTAACATAACCACATCATGATGATAGTTGTTTATGGTAGGCGAAATCCCTGTTTCAATCCAAGCATTAGTCCACTGGAAAGCTTTTGATGAGAAGGTTTTTCAATGTTTTATCAACCATTGTCGGATTCTCAAGGAAAATGAACATTAGACACATATGTGTGTGGTTGTTTTCCATGCCCATCGGCATCTCGAGCAGGCTCGAGGAACCTTCATCCTTTTGGATGTTAGCCATTATGTCGATGGAATGATATCTAGGGACTCTAACCAGATAATACTTGCAATCCTCTGATCCGGATGTTTTTTTAGTTGTTTCTACAACCCTAACAATCTCTCTTTTTTGATACTTAGTGGGTGTTTGTTTGTCCATCCTGAAATTATTGTGTTGACTAGTGTTTTTTTGTAGGAAGTCTCCTTGAGCTGCAACTCCTATTTTGGTTTGTATTGTGACAAAGGTATCTTTCATCCTTGTAGAAAGGGTTCAATTGCATAAGACCTTGTTTTTCTACACACATTGCAAAAATTTTTACCAGTTTTATCGAACCTGAACTAAACTCTGATTTCCGTGGCATTTTTCCATTCTGAATCTGTTTGAATACAATTTTTTTCCGAAAAGTTGAGTGGTTGATCATGTGCAGATATACCTATGGTAACCCATTTCTGAACTTTGAACTCTGATGGGATATGAGGGTCGATCACTCTCCAAACAACATTGGTTTGTCCTTCTTTGTAAAATCAAGTGTTATAGATTTGAAGTGACGATTCAAATTTCCTAATAATACTTTTCCACGGTGTTGGAATAGTAGTGAGTGACATTTTTGTGGGGAGGGAACAATAAGTATGAAAAGGTAATCATTAGAGTGACACGACTATAAGTGATACAACCCAAATCAAAAGGAGGTATGGGTATTGTCGATCCACCACACAAGCGATGACCCTCTCCATTATGTGGCTCAAACGCGTACTATTCATGCCTCTCACTCCTTGGAGTATGTTGTCATGTGAACGACTAAGGAGACTGGCACCAGTTGCACCAGATAGTGTAGACCCTCTCATGTGGTAGAAAACAAATTATGGCCAATTCTCAAAAAATTCTTGAAACAATCCCATCCTCATTATATTTCAGACCGCCAAACTGCTATAAGCGATATAAGTAATGACCCTTTTTTGGCCACTCTAATAAAAACATTGATAAAATTTTCATTACCCGACGAAATTAACCTTTTGCGATGGGAGGAAATGTGCAACAACCTCTTTTTAATAACACCTTCCTTAGGGAGTTCCAAGGATGTGTACTTCAATGTATGGACTTTGCTTTGAAAGGTTGGATAAAAAAAAAGGTTACATGTATTAAAAATATTTGGAATTGGAATACGAGAGATTGGGTCTCCCTCATACTTTTACAGACCCGTTAGCGTTATTGTCACCATTCACACAAAGCGTTAGAGGATGTGGTGGATATAATCAATTTGGATTGAATTTGAATTTTGAAGAATGACCCTAAGTTCCAGACAAACGATTGGGTGATAATCATACATGAGACGACTCTAGTGTGCAATATAATTGAAATATTTAATGCAAAATCCATACTTTTAGCATTTTTTTACATAGAAAGTAAGAAGTTTTTAAGTCATAGACAACAAGAGGATATTAGGTGAGTCAGAGGATATCAAAATTTTCGTATCAGAGTTTTAAGAGTAAAAGACAAATGGTTAGCCTTAAAGTCAAACACACCAATACAAAAGTTGCCAATACATCTGTTGGCTTGGACCTGGTCAAGTCCAACGGGCAATGAGAGGGCCTACTCTAGGCTAATACATGCATTAAAGGTTAAATCGGCCTACAAGATATTGAGACAAAGAGTAAACCTCAAAGACAGAATTGAAGTTAAATGGATAAAAAAATTGAATATGAGTAAGGAAGTATTACACTTAGTCAAGTGGTTTCAATCCATCAAAACCAAACCAGCTAAGGTAGCTTCCTTGCGATGAAAAATTGTCCATAGATGTCTCTCCACAAATGACTTGATTATACATAGATCTACGTTGGAGCAGAAAGGTTTTGCCTTTCCTTGGTGTAAATTCTGCAAGTCCGCTTTCGCATCTAAACTCACTACGAAAACTATTGAACACGTATTCCTTCAATGCCCAGGAGCGGTGTGGCTATAGTGCTGGTAAGATAGAATCTGAGACCAAATTGAAACATCTCAGCCCTAACTTTGGAATTGGAAAACTCTCCTCTTAGAAACCTGAGACTCAAACCAAGTGGACGAGTTTGTCAGGAACTTGTTCATAATAGGGAAAAGAGCACTAATGTGGGGAATATGGAAGAGAAGGTGTACATACGAGACGGAAGGTGCACGTTTAGATGGGTTGAAATTTATTGATTTTATTAAACGGCAGATACAAACAATTATCATTTCTAACTGGGAAAACGTCAAAGAAAATATTATATACCTTTCATCAAAATCTAATATTTTGTATAATATTCATAACTTCAAAAAATGTTGGCTTGGAGGGAATCAGGGGGGGGAATTGGGTAAGGTGAAGTGGGAGGGAGGATAGGGTGGCCCGGGGGATCAATAAGAGTTCAAAAGGAATTAACGAATGATTTAATGTTGATCTTACTATTCCCCTAAAACCTCTCTCATAATTTCCTGATCCCTTCCCGCCTTCTCAACTCAGTGTGGTACCTATGACTTGGTATGGGCATGAATGAGACAGATTGGTAACAAGAGATATATGGGGTCACGAGAATCAGAAGTTGAGGAAGGCATAGAAAAGTGCTAGGGATTCTAGCGTCTGGGATCAAGTAAGGAGGCACTTGAGGAGTCAGAGATTCACTATCAACCAATCATGAGGAACATTGGGCCCGGTTCCCAGCATGCTATGTGTTTCCAAATCTGCAATATATCCCACGGGACGCTGGACCCGCTTTCCAACATGTGTAGCTCCCCACCAATTGACTGAAGCCCCTGTGAGATAGTTAGGAGTGTATGATCTTATCAACACTCCTAGCTGTTGACACAGGTGGATTGTTTGTTACAAAAAAAAGAAAAAAACAAAGAAGCAGTGAGCAATTTTATTTAATAGTTTGCAACATTGTGCAGCCGTTGTAACTGTTATCAGATTCTCGCATGTAATCCAGTTTTCATGTGAGAAGTCCCATAGGTCGCTAATTTGGATGATACCTCTAACCATTAGAGTTTTACCAAAACTACCCTTGGTATTATTGGGCGGGAAGGGTGTAAGATCTTCTTGAAGAATTAGTGGATTATTGAACAAGGGTTGTAAAAGGATTTCAAACTTGGTACCGGGCGACTCTCGGATTGTAGGTCAGATCCTGTTCCATGTAGACAATAGGTTTTGCCAAAGCCTGCTTTTGGTTTTCTTTCTTGCGGAAGAGGGGGTTTCCAGGCATCTCCATAAATCCCTAGGCTCAAATAGTTCCCATTCAGACCCTAAGATATATTCCGCTAATCTTTTCCAAACCTGTCTTTGCTGTTGCATCATGCCTTTGCATGACCATTTTGAGAGTAACACAAACTGGGGTCCACGATTCCTAGCCCCCCTTGGTCTCTTTCAGCTGGCTACCTTAGGCATGGATCCCTGATCTTCTTCAGCTTTAGGCTTCCATAGATATCTGGCTGCAACTCTCCTTATGGTTTTATAGGCCACGCCACCCAGAAGATAAACAATACAGGGGAATGATAGAATCAAACTTTTCACATTTTCAAACATTTTGTCTTGTGGATTTTGCTCGTATGCAGCCACCTAGTCCGACACTGTTTCCGAGAGTGTGTCCGAAATGTGGAAAGGTACCTCGTCATTATATTTTGTTGGGTCTGTCAGAGAGGAAAGACAACCATGCGGTTTTGTTGGAGAGGAAAGACAACCATGCGGTTTTGTTGGAGAGGAAAGAGATGACCATGTGGTTAGTGGTGCACGATACTGCTTGTAGAGGTACCCGGTACTAGCCGTGCACGGTACTGCTTGTAGAGGTACCCGGTACCACAATGGACTTCGCCGCTGGTGTACCCGGTCGGACCACATGCGCCATTTAAAAAATAAATAAAAAATATCCAGTGCTGATTTCCACGGCGTGCCATCTTCGCCCCTTGAACACGGCATGCCATCTTCAGCCCTTGAACTCAAGGTACCTCCCGTAGGTACCTTAAATT